TGGGGCAATCCAGCCCTGGTCAAGACAAAATCATAAGATAGATGAAGTATGCTATAGGGCCCACATCCCACTTCCTTCTTCGTCCTATTTAGCTTCATACTGGCTATATTAACTCCCCTCCTCAGGCAATGCAATCCCCTTACTTCTGTCAAAACTCACCTAGCCCAAGTCCCATTCTTCACATTAATTAACCAAATCCTCTCATATGTCATACACTTTCTCCACGATGGCAGGTGCCTCTGCCTTTCCGGTTTCCCATCCTAGCCCTGCGCATCTCCTGCTTTTCTGAGCGGTTTCTTCTGCTTCAGTTGTCCTATTTATACCTACCTCCTAAACTCTTATTTATTCTTTAAGGCCAGTTCCCCAGTGTTCCTCCCTAGAAGGAATCTCCGTCTTCTTAGTTCCCTTTTTTTTTTTTTTTTTTTTGAGACAGAGTTTCGCTTCTGTTACCCAGGCTGGAGTGCAATGGCATGATCTCAGCTCACCGCAACCTCTGCCTCCTGGGTTCAGGCAATTCTCCTGCCTCAGCCTCCTGGGTAGCTTGGATTACAGGCACGTGCCACCATGCCCAACTAATTTTTTGTATTTTTAGTAGAGACAGGGTTTCACCATGTTGACCAGGATGGTCTCGATCTCTTGACCTTGTGATCCACCCGCCTCAGCCTCCCAAAGTGCTGGGGTTACAGGCTTGAGCCACCGTGCCCGGCCCACTCATTTTTCATTCTAAATATATCTTGCCTGTTAATGACATGTAGCATTTCCATCTGCCCTTATAGCTGTAATTATATGTACCTATTTTCCTCTGTCTGAAAGATTTCTAAGGATAGAATAGACATCTGTTTCATCTTTGTTTCCCCCACAAAACCTTGCATAGTTCTTGAACCATAATAAGGGCTAGTGAAAGATTTTATAAATAAACCCTCAAAAGCACAGGCAACAAAAGCAAAATAAACAAATGGTATTATAGCAAACTAAAAAAAAAAATTGTGTATAGCAAAGGAAACAATTCAGAGTGAAAAGGCAACCTATAGAATAGGAAAAAAAGTTTGCAAACTAGGAATCCTACAGGGAACTCATATCCAGAAGAGACAAGAACTTCAAACATCACAACAGCAAAACGAACAACCCAAGCAAGGGTTTCATGAATCAATTTAATTAATTCAATAATGCATCTCACGTAACTCCTAAAAATGGCACTTGTCAGAATATCATGCAGGATACCAGAGAAATCACAGGAATGTAGTTCCCTTGCCTTTGGCCTCTTGCCAGGCTCCACATTCCTGCAATTTCATTTTCCATCTGCAGACCTTCAAAACCAAAAGCTAGTGGTCCTGAAGCAGCATGGAACTCTCATGTACTATTTGGTTCAACCACTTTGGAAAACAGTTTGACAGCATCTGCTAGAGTTATGTACACATATCCCATGATTCTGCCCCTAGAGATATACCCAACAGATATGCATGTACAAAAGGTTCATCACAGAATTATTATAATAGCAAAAACAAAATTGAAAACAACCCAAAGGTTCATCAATAATAGAATAACTGAATAAACTATGATATAGTCATGCAATAAAATACTATGTACCCATGAAAATGATCGGCTACAAATAACAGCATACATAAATCTGATAAGATATTGAGCAAAAGAAGTCAGACACAAGAGTGCATACCATTTGATTCCATATATACAGGCAAAACTAATCTGTGATGTTAGAAGACAGAATTGTGACTATATTTATGGAAGACAGAGGAGGCAATGAGTGGGAGAGACCCATGTGGTAGACACAAGAGTGTGTTCATTTAACAATAATTCATTGAGATGTACATTTATAATTTTGGGTACTTTTCTATATGTTTCATTTCAATAAGAAAGGTTTGTCTATGAAGACAGGGCATGGTGGCATGTACCAGCTTCTCAGGAGGCTGAGGCAGGAGATTCACTTTAAACTGGGAGGCAGAGGTTGCAGTGAGCCGAGATCATGCCACCGCGCTCCAGCCTGGGTGACAGAGCAAGATTCTGTCCCCCCCCCCAAAAAAAAAGAAAGAAAAAAAGAATGGACAACTGAAACCTGAAATTAGGGTTTGAAATGTACTTTAGGGCCCAGCAAGTCACGCACCATGGTAAAATGCATGGCTTTTTATACTCTGCATGAAAAAAGAAGCCTTTGGAAGACTTTTGCAAAGCTCAAGAATTATACGTACATCTTATATGCACATCTTACATAATTTATGTAAGTTATACCCACATCTTGCATAAATAGCACACCCGTTAAATTATTCAGTAAACAAAGTTTTTTTAAATTTCACTGTCATCAGGACTCCTGATGGGATGCACTGAGAAAGACACCGTATCATTTGTGTGGTATTCCTGACAAAAATGCATATGATATCTGCTGTTGATGGGTACAGAAAAAAAATTTTTAAGAAGAAAAAATAATTTGAAAAATGCATATGATGGCTGGGCGTGATGGCTTACACCTGTAATCCCAACACTTTGGGAGGCTGAAGCAGGTGGATCGCCTGAGCCCAGGATTCAAGACCACCCTGAGCAACATGGGGAAACCTCATCTGTACAAAAAATACAAAAGTTAGCCAGGCATGGTGGCGCAGACCTGTAGTTCCAGCTACTACGGAGGCTGAAGTGGAAGGATGGCTTGAGCCTGGGAGGTTGAGGCTACAGTTAGCCATGAGCATGCCACTGCACTCTAGCCTGGGCGACAGAATGAGATCCTCTGTTAAAAAATAATAATAAAAGGTGGGGTGTGGTGGCTCACGCCTATAATCCCAGCACTTTGAGAAGCCAAGGTGGACAGACCACTTGAGGTCAGGAGTTCAAGACCAGCCTGGCCAACATGGGGAAACCCCGTCTCCACTAAAAATACAAAAATTAGCTGGGAGTCATGGTGTGTACCTGTAGTCCCAGCTACTCAGGAGGCTGAGGCAGGAGAATTGCTTGAACCGGGGATCGGGGGCGGGGTGCGTGGAGGTTGTAGTGAGCCGGGATCAGACCTCTGCACTCCAGCCTGGGCGACAGAGCGAGACTCTGTCTCTAAAAAATAATAATAACGATAATGATATGAAATAAAAATGTATATGATAACCTGAATCATATGAGAGAACACCAAACCCAGATTAAGGAACCCTCTACAAAACAATTGGCTTATCCTCTATCGAGAATGCAGTATCATGAAAGATGAAGAAAAGCTGAAGTATGGTCACAGACTGGACATGAGAAACATAACAACTGAATGTGATACATGATCCTGATTGCATCTTGGGTCAGCAAAAAAATAAACTAAAATAAAGCATATTCTTGGGACCATGGGTAATAGGTGAATATGGGTGGCATATTTGATGGTATTAACGTTAAATTTACTAAATTTGATAATTGTGCTGTAGTAATGGTGAAACCCATCTCTAATAAAGATACAAAAATTAGCTGGGCATGGTGGCGCATGCCTGTAATCCCAGCTACTCAGGAGGCTGAGGTAGGAGAGTTGCCTGAACCCAGGAGGCGGAGGTTGCGGTGAGTCGAGATCGCGCCATTGCACTCCAGCCTGGGTAACAAGAGCGAAACTCCGTCTCAAAAAAAAAAAAAAGAATGCCTTTGTTCATAGGATATAAGTGCTAAAATATTTAGGAGCAAAGGGGCATAAAGTCACAACTTATTCTTAAGTGGTTCAACAAAAATTATTATACACACATACGCATACAGCTAGAGAAAGAGAAATAAAGTAAATATGATAATGTGTTCCCTGGTGAATCTAGGTGAAAAAATTCAAGAATCCTTTGAACTATTTTTGCAGCTTCCCTGGAACTTCGCAATTATTTCAAACTAAAAGGTTTAAAAATTAAATAAATAGGGAGGCTTCAGTCAGCTTACACCAGGCCAGCCTCACAGACACAGGACAGAGGAGGAAGAACCTCAGGGAGACCCAAGTCCATCCCTCTCTGTGCCTGAGTTACTCACCAGCTTCACCCTACAAGGGCCAGCATAGCTAAGCCCAGATATGGCGCTGAAGACCTGGGAATGGGGCTGGAGGGAGCATTGCCCTCTGTCACACAGGCTCATAACCTCAGCTTCTCGGTCATGCTCATCTCCACAGCCAGGCACCAATCCCATCAGTCCTCCTTCAGCTCTCTGAACTGCTTTCAAGGCTCCTTAGACCAGATTCCAACCTAGCTCTCCTGCCCGGAATCCTGGGCCACTGGGTCCCCGCTGCCCACTCACAAGAGCTTCAGGCTCCACACCTCCCTCCCTGCTCCCTGTCTCTCATCAGGCTCTGCCCTAGGCTTCCTGTATCCTTACAAATGTCGAGTCCACCTGAGCCTTGACCACATCTTCCTGAAGGACACAAGAATGCTCAGGGACTCAGTAAGTGAACTGAGTACCTGGGCATGGAACTTTATTGCATATGGGGATTGTACCCAGCCCTGAACCCACACACTATGCCTCAGTTTCCCCTCTTTGTGCCCAGAGTGTACCCTCTTCTCACTCCACACTCTCCACCCCTGTGAAACCCCTTTAGAGTCACTGATCTAAAATGCAAGATCCCAGTCGGGCATGGTGGTTCACACCTGTAATCCTAGCAATTTGGGAGACCAAGGTAGGCAGATCACCTGAGGTCAGGAGTTCAAGACCAGCCTGGCCAACATGGTGAAACCTGGTCTCTACTAAAAATACAAAAATTAGCCAAGCATGGCGGCACATGTCTGTAATCCCAGCTACTCAGGAGGCTGAGGTGTAAGAATTGCTTGAACCCAGGAGGTGGAGACTGCAGTGAGCCGAGATCATGCCACTGCACTCCAGCCTAGGAGACAGAGGGAGATTCCATCTCAAAATAAATTAATTAATTAATAAATTAAATTAAATGCGGGATTCAGGTTTCAGAGCATCCTGGACTCCAGGGCTGGAGAAAGAGAAGAGCAGCCCTCAGTTGGGATCCCCGGGAGTAAACATTCGATGGCTCCGTGCCTGGCTGACAGCTTTAGGTTTGCTGTGGAGCTTCCTCATATTGTCTCCTTCTCCGCCCCAAGCAAACAAGTCCCTAATAATTTCCAGGCTCCTGTGGCATCTAGGTGGCTGAAGAAACCGGGGAGCTGAAGGACCAGGCCATGCAGCCTCTTCCTGGCTGCTGGCCTCACCCTCTCCTCCTCGGGCTCAGCTCTCCTGCCTCAGGGATCCATCTGTCTGTCTCTGAGCTCCAGAACCACACAGCTTCCTTGGAACTGCTTCTCCTCTCTCATGCCACAATTGGAGGATGCAATTTTCTTCATCTTTATAGGCAACTGGAAGAAGGCTTGTCTCCCCACTACATGGAAAGGTAAATCGAAGCCAGTGGGAAGGAATCTCCTTACCCAAGACTTCCCGGATTGCAGGCAGCAGGGCAGGATGCCCCTCTCACAGATTTGCCAGTGTACTGCCAGCCTGTCCTGTCTGATTTAGAATGTCAGAGCTGTCAGGAGCTGCTTGGAGTCACAGTTCCAGATGACTGTGTATGTGGCACAAGCAGTGGCTCTGGCTCTGATCTCTCCGAGGGGCACAGTCCTTAGCCCATCATGTGAGTCCCCCACCCCATGCAAGGTAGGACCTCCTTACCTTTGCCCTGATACCCCTTGAGGAGCAGGAGGAGTGTGAGGGTGACCACTTGCCCCAGCATCCCCACAGGACAGCGGGACCAGGCCAGCCCCTCCACCCCACCAGACACTGTGCTGTGCACGGGCTCAGCAGCCCCCAGTCAGCAAGAGGACGATGGGGAGCAGTCCAGCCAGTTTCCTCAATTCGAGGCGTGAACACCTGCTGTGAGCTGACAAGGCCACTGAGAAAGCCCCAGCGCCTGGAGCTGGTCTGCTGGTTCCCACAGCCAAACTAGTGAAACTTACCTCAAGTGGGAGGGTGCTTGAAGCTCACAGTGACTCACAAAGCCAGTTTCAAAATCGCATCTCTTTCTCTGCTTCAGCCCAAGAAATGTTCCAATTCTCTGAATCCTACTGGAAATATGGAGACACCCATATGGGGGCCAAACAGCCAGCATCCCAGGCTGTTCCATTCCAACAGACGTTGTGGAGATGGAGTAAAGAGGGGCTGGAGAAGGAGTGGGCTGAGAAGCAGGGTAAGTGGCTAACAATGTTGAAGGAGAGGAGTAGTAGCTGAGGGAACAAAGGAGAGATCTAAGGGCTGGAGGCACCAGAAAAATCTAACAAGCCTGGGGATTCTATGCAAGTTGACACCACAGCTTAAGCACATCCAAATTAAATTTATTTCGTAAGAATTTGTTTTGCACCTAGCTTGGTGGCTCACACCTGTAATCCCAGCACTTTGGGAGGCTGAGGCAGGCAAATCACTTGAGGTCAGGAGTTCAAGACCAGTCTGGCCAACATGATGAAACCCCATCTCCACTAAAAATACAAAAATTTGCCAGGCACAGTGGCATGTGTCTGCAATCCCAGTTAATTGGGAGGCCTAGGCAGGAGAATCACTTGAACCCATGAGGCAGAGGTTGCAGTGAACCAAGATCACCCCATTACACTCCAGCCTGGGCGACAGGGAGAGACCCCGTCTCAAAAAAAAAATCTGTTTTGCTCCACATTTCCGATCTGTGTGTCTAGATTACCTCCCTTCCTCTTTTTCTACTTTTCCATGGTAGTTCTCTTTTCTCTCTTTTGCCTTCTCCCAAAAATGACATGGGTCTATTTTTGCTACCTTTCCATCCATGTTTGGATGCGACCCTCCAGGGAAGGCCAGGCAGCTTTGGATCTGCTCAGGCCCCCATGAAGGGGTGGGGACAGCGGTTTCCCCGCTCCCCTGGAACATTGTGCTTCAAGGCCAGGCCACAGGGTTCATGCCTTTCTTTCTTCCTTCTGCTTTCCCCTTAATGACAAATACTTTCTGTTCCCTTCCAGTTCACCCTTCTTCCCTTTTTCCATGCTTTGATCCACTTTCAGCCACCCTGTCTGAACTGGGCAGGGGGCAGCAGACTGACAGCTTCCGCTGCCAATGGAGGCAGCAGCGGGGCTCTGGACAGAGCACTGGTTTTAAAGTCAAAGACTTGGACTTCAGGCTCCCATTCAGCAACTTACATCCTTTGTGACTCTGGCCAAGTTACTCTCTGAGACTGTAGGGTCAACAATACCTGCTCCCCACCTTCACAAGGTAGTTTTCAGTATCAAATTAAAAATGAAACTTGAGAATACGCATACAAAAAACAATGGACATAGGTGAGGTTTTGTGGTTTTGTTTTCATTTTTTTTAAGCCCTGAGTAGCATTTTCCAGCTGGTCTAATGGTTATCATCTCTTCTCTACTCTGTCTCCTTCCAAGGGCCAGCCCTCAACCCCGGGGAATTTCCTCAATGGGTCCCCAAGACCACCCATTTCTGAGACAAATTGTAAGTTTGAGTTGATCTGGCCATGTCCTTAACCTTGAGAAGTGGTGCACAAGACATAATATAACAAAGAAGGGTAAACTTCCTCACATGACAGGTGGAAAACAAGATCCAACTGTTGGAAGCCACTGATGAATATGAATTAGGAATCAGCCTCTCCAGTCCTGACCACAGCACCAGCTCCATCCTTCCCACCAGGCGTGTGGATGACCTACCATCCTCTGGAAACTGGACTCGAAGCAGCTGTAACACTTAGTGTGTGTCTGTCTTGTGGTCCTTGACAAACTATATCACACAATTATCTGCTTATGTGGAGGCTGGGCACTGTGACTCACGCCTGTAATCCCAGAACTTTGGGAAGTCAAGGCAGGCAGATCACTTGAGGCCAGGAGTTCAATACCAGCCTGACAAACATGGTGAAACCCCATCTCTACTAAAAATACAAAAATTAGCTGGGTGTGGTGGTGCATACCTGTAATCCCAGCTACTCAGGCTGAGGCAGGAGATTTGCTTAAATCTGGGAGGCGGAGGTTGCAGTGAGCCGAGATCGTGCCACTGCACTCCAGCCTAGGAGACAGAAACAAGGTCTGGAGCAGTGGCTTACACCTGTAATCCCAGCACTTTGGGAGCCCGTGGCAGGCAGATCACCTGAGGTCAGGAGTTTGAGACGAGCCTGGATAACATGGTGAAACCCCAATTCTATTAAAAATACCAGGCGAAGTGGCATGCGCCTGTAATCCCAGCTACTTGGGAAGCTGAGGCAGGAGAATCACTTGAACTTGGGAGGTGGAGGTTGCAGTGAGCTGAGATAGCACCACTGCACTCCAGCTTGGGCAACAACAGTGAAACTCCATTAAAGAAAAAAAACTGAGATCGATCCAAGATGGCCGACCACTAACAGCTCAGGATTGTAGCTCCCAGTGAAAGCTCAGAGAACGAGACGACGCCACATCTTTAGACGAATTTTCGTCACTCACCGATTAGCCGATTCCCAGTGGAGGAGCCCCACGGGTCGCCAGCGCGACTCTTGTGGCCGCCGCAGCGGTTTTGCCGGCGTCTGGGCACAGCAGCTCTTCATGCAGAGCCAACGGGACCGCTTCCCCTACTGACCGGAGTTTGGAGCTCCGGGAAGTCAGAGCCGCTTGTTGCGGACTCAAGAGGGAAGCCAGACCAGAGATTCCCGGGCAGAAGAGCACCATCAGTCTTATCACTGCTATTTAGGCTGCCACAGTGGGTTGCTCGGATCCCAGCACTGGGAATCAATAAGTCAGACGTCGACTCAGAAACCTAATTAGAAAGGCGGTTCATCTACAATGAAGGGAAAAAAACAGCCTAAGAAGGCCAAGTATACTCAAAATCAGAACCCATTAGCAACGGAACAAGCCTGATGGAAAAGGACTCATCAGCAACCGAACAAGCCCTGATGGAAAAGGACTCATCAGTAATGGAACAAGCCCTGATGGAAAAGGACTGTGTTCCATTATCTGAAGTAGGCTTTAAAAGGTGGATGATAAGAAACTTCTGGGAGTTAAAGGAACTTGTTCTAACCCAATGTAAAGAAACTAAGAACTTGGAAAAAAGGTTCGATGAAATGTTGAAAAGAATAGACAATATAGAGAGGAATACAAATGAACTTATGGAGTTGAAAAATACAACACAAGAACTTAGTGAAATATGCACAAGCTTAAACAGCCGAATGGATCAAGCAGAAGAAAGGGTATCAGAGGTCAAAGACCAACTTATTGAAACAAAACGACAAGACAAGAATAGAGAAAAAAGGATAAAAAGCAATGAGCAAAGTCTCCAAGCAATATGGGACTATGTGAAAAGACCTAATATACACTTGATTGGTGTACCTGAATGTGACGGAGAGAATGAATTCAAGCTGGAAAATACTCTCCAGGACATTATCCAGGAAAATTTTCCTAATTTAGCAAAGCAGGACACTATTCAACCCCAGGCAATACAGAGAACACCACAAAGATATTCCTCAAGAAGACCAACCCCAAGGCACATAATCGTTAGATTCACCAAGATCGAAACGAAGGAGAAAATATTAAGGGCAGCCAGAGAGAAAGATCAAGTTACCCATAAAGGTAAGCCTATTAGGCTTACAGCAGATCTCTCAACGGAAACCCTACAAGCTAGAAGAGAGTGGGGGCCAATATTCAATATACTTAATCAACAGAACTTTCAGCCCAGAATTTCATATCCTGCCAATTTAAGCTTTACATTTGAAGGAAAAATAAAATCTTTTAGGAACAAGCAAGTACTCAGAGATTTTATTACCACCAGGCCTGCTTTACAAGAACTTCTAAAAGAAGCATTATACACAGAAAGGAACAACCAGTATGACCCTTTCTAAAAATACACCAAAAAGTAAAGAGCATTAACATAAAGAAGAATTTTTATCAACGAAAGGACAAAATAGCCAGTTAATATCAAATGGCAGCAACCCTAAATTTAAATCGACCAAATCTCCCAATCAAAAGATACAGACAAAATCTAACGGTATATCCAAAGATATACATAGACTCAAAATAAAGGGTTGGAAAAAAAAAAACGTACCAACCAAATGGAGAGCAAAAATAAATAAATAAAAAGCAGGAGTTGCAATTTTCACATTTGACAAAGTAGATTTCAAAGCTACAAGGATACAAGGGTAAAAGGATTAATGTAATAATAAGAGATCTTAACACCCAGATACATAAGACCCATAATGAGATTTAGATTCAACGAGACAGAAAATTGATAACGATATCTGGGACTGGAACTAAGATCCAGAACAAATAAACTCAATAGAACTCTCCATTTTAAACACACAAAATATACATTATCCACAAAATCTAACGATATATCTAAAGATATACAAAGACTCAAAACAAGGGGATGGAAAAAAACTCACCAACCAAATGGAGAGCAAAAATAAATAAATAAAAAGCAGGAGTTGCAATTCTCACACTTAATAAAATAGATTTCAAAGCTACAAGGATGCAAGGGTAAAAGGATTAATGTAACAATAAGAGGTCTTAACACCTAGATACATAAGACACATAATGAGATTTAGATTCAACGAGACAACAAATTGATAACGATATCCAGGACTTGAACTCAGAGCCAGAACAAATAAACACAATAGAGATCTCCATTTTAAACACATAAAATATGCATTAACCACTTTAAACACTCAAAATATTGATCGGCCATTATTGAAACCCATTTTAGGAATGAAGTAATATTCTTTTTCCCCTCTTTTTCTTTTTTCCCCTTCTTTTTCTCTTTTTCCCTAAAAAAAAAAAAAAAAAATGCAGTCTTTCTACACACTGACTTCCCCAGCCCTGAGCTCTTCAACACAAAGTCTATGCTCCTCTTAGCTTAGTGTTTCCAAGCCTGGTCCAGTGTCTGGTTCTTCAGAGTTGATAGATTGTCAAGTGCTGAATTAATGAATCAGTTCCCTAAGGGAGACATTAATATTTCCCCTGAGATAGACTAGTTAGCTAAGTCACCATGGTCCCTGCCCTCATGGACTTTCAATCTTTCCCTGCCAAATTTTTGTGCAGAGAGCCCTTCTGTGAAATTCCACCACTTTAGCATGAGGACCCAAGACCTACAAAATCAAGATAAACTCAGAGACTCTGTAGCTTCATTTGCCACACACATTCACTAGGTCTCTATGAGACTGGGACAGGGACTCAAACAGGGGGATTTAAAGGATAGCAGTCATCTAGGAATCAAAGGTTCATAAACCCCTGCCCTTTCATCTCTCCTTTTCCCAAATCAGGCTTTCACCAAGTTTCAGTGAGTCAAGGTCATTCCAGTAAGTCCCACTTCTGATGCTAAGTTCAAATTTCACGAGTCCCCAAGACCACCCATTTCTGAGACAAATTGTAAGTTTGAGATCCCCAAGATCACCTTCAGGTTTGAAGACAAGACAGTTTGATAATTAACTAGAATTAATCCCAAAACTCACTGAAAACTGTTTTACTCATGGCTAGAGTTTATTAAAGCAAAAAATAAAGATGAAAATGAACCAAGGGAAGAGGTACACAGGCAAGGTCCAGTCCAGGGGAGTCCCAAACAAAGGAACCAGTCACACCACTTCCAGTTCTCCTCTCCCAGTGGAGCTGTGCGGACAGGGCCTACTTCTCCCAGAAACTATGTGTGACAGCATACACAGAGTATTCCTAAGCAGGGAAGCTCTTCCAAGTCTTGGTGTCCAGACTTTGTATTGGGGCTTGGTCACATGGACATGGCTGACCACTCACGCAGCTGACCATAGTCTCCGGCCCCTCCAGAAACTGAGTTGATGCTATGTGGCCAAAGCTTCCACCACAAATCACATTATTAGCATAGACAATGTTAAGAAGATTCCCAGTAATAAAGACACTCTTATCAGACAGGACATTTCAAGGCTTAGAGATTACCTCCCAGGAGCCAAGGGCAAATGTCAGACCTCTCTTTTGACAAGATTAATCCTTTACTGTACCGCTGGAAAGAAGTTGTCAAAGTCGTCAAAGATGAGGCTGGGCACCGTGGCTCGTGCCTGTAATTCCAGCCCTTTGGGAGGCCAAGGCAGGTGGATCACCTGAGATTGGGAGTTTGAGATCAGCCTGACCAACATGGAGAAACACTGTTCCTACTAAAAAAAAAAAAAAAAAAAAAAGTTGTCAAAGAGGAACCCTTTAAACAGAGCCCAGCTGATCTTATAGTATAGTCAACTGATCTTGCAAGAATTTAACAAATAATTTCTGTAATACCAGACACTAAACGGGAACTCATTGCCTTTATTTCTAACTATCTGAATATTGTCTGTGTTCCTGTTTGATGAAACCACAGCAACATTTTTAATACGTACAACCTATCTTTTTCTTGAAAGGGCTAGAAAATCACTTCCCCTTCTATCTATATTTCTCTTCTGTGGGCTTTCACTTGTTGGAAGAGAAGTAGCCTTTTGTAGTTTATTAATTGGCTGTGATGACTTTCAGGTTCAGGTTAAAGGTAAGAGAATAGTCTCATAAAGAAGATGGAAGATAGAGCCTCTCAAGACAATTCATGGGACATCAAATAATCCAGAAAACACACATCCGCAGGAGCAAGGACCAAAGAGTGCAATCCATGTCTTAACTCATCTCAGAATTTCAAAATAACAAGAAACTTGCTGTTGCCAAATTCACTGTGGAGAAATAGCTCTGACCATGCAGAGAACTGACACTAGCAATGTCATCTCTCTGACACTAGCAATGTCATCTCTCTGACACTGGCAATGTAGTGTGGGAAATGGAATCAATCTCTGCTTCCCTGTGTTGGAACAAAATGTTTGTACACGAGAAATGAAGGAAAGAGTTTTCCCAAATTGCAAGGGAAATGCACCATAGAATAACCTCCTACAATTTAAAGATAATTAAACACAAATTTGTCTTGTACATTTATATATTTTATTACATTTTATAAATCAGAATCTGATTTAGTGTGAAATTATATTCTGAGATTTTTATGTTTGACATATTAGTAAACCAAGTGTTTTGCAATTAAAAAAAAATGACTTCTAAGTGCCCTGCCATCTAGTTTGTGAATTTTGTCTAATTTGTGAATTACAAATATAGAAAATGAAAATTGAGCTTATAATGATAAAGTCATTGCTGTAAGCCATGTTCTCTTTTTTTTGTTTGTTTGTTTGTTTGTTTGTTTTTGGACACCTAAAAAGAAGCGCATGTGATCAAAGTTTAGTGGTGTAATCAGATAAATTTATGATATGGTTTGTCTGTGTCCCCACCCAAATCTCAACTTGAATTGTGTCTCCCAGAATTCCCACATGTTGTGGAAGGGACCCGGGGGAAGTTAACTGAATCATAGGGGTGGGTCTTTCTTGTGCTATTCTCATGATAGTGAATAAGTCTCCCGAGATCTGACGGGTTTATCAGGGGGTTCTGCTTTGCTTCTTCCTCATTTTTTCTTGCCGCTGCCATCTAAGAAGTAGCTTTCACCTCCCACCATGATTCTAGGGCCTCCCCAGCCATGTGGAACTGTAAGTCCAATTAAACCTCTTTTTTCTTCCCAGTCTTGGGTATGTCTTTATCAGGAGCATGAAAACGGACTAATATAACTTACAGCCAAGTTGTCATTTTAATGGTTTGAACATCCATATAATTGACCATAAATGAAATTGTTTTGACATGACAAAACTTCACTGTGGAGTATTTTATTCTACATCATGTTGCTGTTTTATTCTATTTCACATTGCCGTTTATCCCTCATGTAGAATTCTTATCAGTGCTGACAGTTTCCCTAATTCTATGTGTCACTGAATCTACCACACAGGTTGCAGGTGCCCACACATTCACATAAGAGACTATAGAAGATGAAGGACCTAAAACTGACTTCCTGTTCCTCTAAGAGTTCCTCTTCTTCTTCCTCCATCCCTTCCCTATCCGACCTCCCTACATGATTTTCATGTGAAACTCTCTGGGTTTTTCTGACATACACTCTAAGAAGTTGCCTCTGGCCAGGCACAGTGGCCCACAACTGTAATCTTAACACTTTGGGAAGCTGAGTTTGAGAATTTAATGGGCAAAAATAAAGCAGTCTGGTAACACCAAGTATTTGAGGGCATATGAATCAATTGGATCAATTACATACCTGCTGATAGGAGTGTAAATTAGTATAATTTTGTGGAAATAAATTGGTGTTATCTCATAAAGTAAAATATTTATAAACTCTAATGATCCAGCAATTTGACATCTAGTTATATACCCACATACAAGAGAAAGTTTAGCACATATGTACCTGGAGACACATAAGACAATGTGCATAGCAGCATTGTTTTTTATTGGGGAAAAAAATGGAAACAAAATAAATGACAATGGGAAAGTAGAAAAACAAGATCTGATATATTCATAAAATGTAAACTCAATAGCATTGAAAATGAATGTGGGACAACATAGGAGAATAGTAGTTACCTAATGTCATAGGAAAAAAATAAACACCAGAAGACAATATACAATATGATAGGTTTTTTGTTTTTTGTTTTTTTTTTTGTTTTTTTGAGATCTGTGTGCCTTTATTAGCAGAGCCACTACTTGAGCGGGATGAAGCGGGAGGAGTGAGGGGCCCCGATGCCCGGCCAGCTGTGCTTCATGGGCTTGTAGGTGATGTAGAACTCGCCCAGGTGGTGGCCGATCATCTCTGGCTTGATCTCCACCTGGTTGAAAGTCTTGCCTTGTAGACGCCCACCATGCGGCCCACCATCTTGGGCAGGATGATCATGTCCCGCAGGTGTGTCTTCACCACTTCCGGCTTCTCCATGGGCGGCACCGCCTTCTTGGCCTTGCGCAGGCGCTTCAGCAGTGAGTACTGCTTCCGCCGAGGGCCCGGGTTCAGCCGCCGCCGCTGGCGCGCACTGTGCAGCGGCCTCACCTGCTCGTAGGACATGTCCAGCAGCTAGTCCAGGTCCACGCCGCGGTAGGTGAACTTGAGGAAGGTCCGCTTCTTCTTCTGCTCTACCTCTGCCATCTTGCCGGATCCTCAGAAAAGACCGTTCTTGTCTGCGCCTGCACAGTTATCCGATAGTATTTTTATATAGTTTAAAAACAAAAAAAATTAAACTGCATCTCATTTAGGCATATGCGTTATGTGTGTGCATGATTGTTACAAAGTAGTTTAAGCAATAGTACCTTAACCACAAATGGAGATAATGGCAAAAACTAAGGAAGAAGGGAGGGAGAGAGTTACTTAGAGGAATCTGGAAGTAGGTGTAGATTATTAATAACATTCTAGTCGTTGGATTGTGTCATGAAAAGTGTCCATCGCTTTGTGAAACAAAGGAAGGGAGGAGAGAGGTGGACAGGGAGTGGAAGGAGAGGGAGAAGGGAGTTGACCTAGCTGCTATGCATCTCTTCTGCCTTTTACAACCACAAAGACCAATAATAACTCCTCAGCATAAAACCTTTCCGGTAATCAGTGTTGTTCAAGGTGATACAATTCTCCTTTTTTGGGGCAGGGTGGGGCATGGAAGACTGTACTTCTCTTTGAAGTTAAACAGGACCATGTGACTTGCTCTAGCCAAGCAATGTAAACAGAAAGGGTCACTTTCAGGCTGAAGCCTTTAAGAGAAGCAAGGTACTGGTCAACATACTCCTTTTTCCAGCTTCAGTAAATACCTAAAACAGGCAGCCTTGACGTGGTAATAGCCTTATTGGTGATGAAGAAACTAATTTTGAAGGTTGGAAAGATGGCACTCCATGTTATGTAGGATGTGAAAATGTTAAGAGCATTGCCTGTGGTACTCAAGAAGTGTGTTATGTATGTAATGCTCTTGAGCTCTAAGGGAAGACATCAGGGAAACAATGTAACACTGTTACATTATAAAAAAGAAGCCCAAAGGAAAATCAGATTGTATGTTTTGCAAGCAGGAATGAAAGAACTAATTGATTGACTCTGTTTTCAACAGGTAAATGGTAAATAAAACTTTCATTGATAAATAATCTTCAATAAGGACACACACAAATACATACTCGTGGCTGGGCGTGGAGGCTCACTTCTGTAACCCAGCACTTTGGGAGGCTGAAGCAGGTGGATTGTATGAGCCCAGGAGTTCAAGACCAGCCTGGGCAAGGTAGTGAGACCACAACTCTACCAAAAAAAAATTTTTTTTTTAATTAGCCAGGTATGGTGGCATGCTCTCAGCTACTTGGGAGGCTGAGGTAGGAGGATCTCTTGAGCCAGGGAGATCAATCTTCAGTGAGGTGTGATTGTGCCACTGCACTCCAGCCTGGGCAACAGAGTGAGATTCTGTCTCAAAAATGGAAAAAAATACACACACATACACATGCACACTATAAAAATCTTTCTCTCCATCCACCTCAGTCCAGAGCAAGTATTAAGTGCATTCATATTCTTGTACAACCATCGCAATCATCCATCTGCAGAACTCTTCACCTTGCAGAACTGAAATGCTATACCTATTAAACAATAATTCCCCATGCCCCTCTCCCTACAGCCCCAGGAAATCCTCATTCTATTTTTCTGTCTATAAATTTGACTATAGGTACTCATAAAGTGAAATCATACAATATTTGTTTTTTACTGAATGGCTTATTTCACTTAGCATAATGCTATCAAGATTCATACATGTTGTAGCTTGAGTCAGAATTTTATTCCTTTTAAAGGTTGAATGATAGCCCAGTCTCTACTGCTTTTTGCTTCATCTGTCAATGGGCATTTGGGTTGCTTCCGCATTTTAGCTATTGTGAATAATGAATGAACATGGGTGAACAAATATCTCTTCAAGACCCTGCTTTCAATTTTTTGGGTATACACCCAGAAGTGGAATTGCTGAATCATATGGTAATTCCATGTTTCATCTTTTTTTCTTTTTCTTTTTCTTTTTTTTTTGAGACAGAGTCTTATTCTGTCCCCTAGGCTGGAGTGCAGTGGTGCGATCTCGGCTCACCTCCACCTCCTGGGTTCAAGTGATTCTCCTGCCTCAGCCTCCTGAGTGGCTGGGATTACAGGTGTGCACCACCACACCCGGCTGATTTTTGTATTTTTAGCAGAGACAGTTTCACTACGTTGGCCAGGCTGGTCTAGAACTCTTGACCTCAGGTGATCCACCCGCCTCAGCCTCCCAAAGTGTTAAGATAACAGGTGTGAAGCACTGCGCCCGGCCTAAGGTTACTCTTTTGAGGAACCTAATACTGTTTTCAACAGAGTCTGTACCATTTTACATTCTGATACAGTTTGGATCTGTGTCCCTGCCCAAATCTTATGTCCAGTTGTAATCCCCAGTGTTGGATGGGAGGTCTGATAGGAGGTGACTGGATCATGGGGATGGATTTCCCCTTTGGTGCTGTTCTTATAAAAGAGTTCTCACAAGATCTGGTTGTTTAAAAGTATGTGGCACCTCTCCCCTCTCTCTCCCTTCCTCTGCCCACCATGTAAGATTGTAAGATGTGCCTGCTGCTCCTTTGCCTTCTGCCATGATTGTAAGTTTTCTAAGGCCTCCTAGAAGCCTACCAGAAGCTACTATGCTTCCTACAAAGCCTATGGAACCATGAACCAATTAAATCTTTATTCCTTATAAATTACCCAGTGTTAGGTATTTCTTTACAGCAATGTGAGAACAAACTAAAACACATTCACACTGTCAGTGCACAAGAGTTTCCATTTCTCCACATCCTTGCCAACACTTGTTATTTTCTGTTTTGTTCTGTTTTGCTTTGTTTATAGTAGCCATCCTAATGGGTGTAAGGTAGCATCTCATTATGATTTTGGTTTGCCTTTCTCTAATCATTAGTGATACTGAGCATTTTTTCATATGCTTATTAGGCATTTGTATATCTTGTTTGGAGAAAGGTCTATTCAAGTCCTTTGCCCATATTTGAATTGGGCTGTTTGGTATTTTGTGTTGAAATTTAGGAGTTCTCTACATAGTCTAGATATTAATTCTTTATAAGGTATGTGATTTGAAAATACTTTCTCCCAGTCTGTAGGTTTTTTTTTAATTTTTTTTTTTTAAGATGGGGTTTCACCATATTGGTCAGGCTGATCTTGAACTC